CACACACACACACACACACACACACACACACACACACACACACCCACATCTTAATTTCCTCTGGAGTACAAGTTTTATGTTGGTATATATACATCTGTTTGGGGTTTTTCAATGCTTTTGCTTGTGTGGATGTTTTTTGTGTGTACATGATCACATGACCCATGTCACTCCTCTGGATTTACACGGTCAGCTAAATACATTGACAAGTTGTTCTAATTGTTGAATCTACTGAGGGAAAGCTGCATTTGTTACTGTTACCATTGTTTGTGTTTTCCACAAATTTTATTTTGCTCTTAACTGATAAGTTTTATATAATGTGAAATTTATTATTAGGAAATCTTTCTCTTTAGCAGAAAAGCAGCTTTTTTTTAGGCAGAATAAATTTATTTGCAGTTCAAGCTGGATTAAGACAAAAATTACTATTATTTAATTTAGCATATGCTCTGTGACGGTTCACAGCCGAAAGCTTTTCTTGTGATCTCTTTAAGATTGCGATGTAAAAAAAAAAAGAAAAATTACCTGTTCTCACCTGGTTTTTCTGAAGAGCTGTGAGCCGTTGACTGTGAGCTGTCAGCTTGAGTGTCTGATCTTGGCCTCAGAAACAGTAGCATAGTCTGTCTTTTTGTTACCAAAACTTTTTGTGATTTCTAGAGCCTAAAATAATTATTGCAAATTTACGTTGATCCTTCTTCAGAAGCTTCCTTTCTTTCTTTTTTAGGTTTCAAATAATGTCACTGTGATATCACTTCTTCAGTGATAAATAGGCCTACTATGTCCTTTTTGTAAAGTAAAAATTATCATTTTGTGGTATGAACCAAATTTTTTTTTTCATTTCTGGGCATGCAAATCATTTTATATGTACACATATTTCCATTGTTTCCACTTCCCTGCCATAACCCACTGAGCTTTCCAAAGACAAACATTTGATCATTTTGTATGTTGATGATATATATCTTAGTTTCTACAAGTTACTTTTATTTCATACGTTTCTAAATGCTGTTTTACACACTCCTGGGAACAGCAGAACTTTTGATTTGGCGAGTCTGTCATGAAGCAAAGGGTCCAGAATGTTTAGATATGACCTTATAATGTGAGTTCTGAATGTTAATGAATGTTTGTAGTTCTGGCTCGCATAAATTGTGCTGTGACCTTTATAACTGACTGTCACTAGTTAATGCTGATTTTTTAAGAAACATTTTTTATGTTCCTCAACTCTTTCCCTGCTGAACTGTTTTAGTTGTTTTATGGAAATTGTTAGAAGTTCGAGAAACCGCTTGTCTTCCTGTCAGATTTTTTCTGTTTTGATTATAATTTTGGCTAATGTATAAATTTCGCAGTATTTCAAATAAGTGGTATCCAGTGTTTCCTTAATAATATTTAATGTTTTCAGCTCTGTGAAATTCTATATTAGACAGAGATAGAGAGTATCAAATTACTTTGATGAATTCTCTGAAAGTAATATGTCAAGATTAATGGCAAAGAATCTTTTGTTTTTAATTAAAGTTGGCAAAAAGATTAATTTTCTTCGGAAATGCAGCTTATAGTTTTTACAGCTGTTTATACTATTAATATCAATGAGAAATCTAATTATACAGTGCTTCCAACCTTCAGTATTTTTAGGGAAATCCGTAGATGTTTTAAGTGTAGCCAGATAAAACAAGACAAACCATTGGTAAAAAAAGGAAGATATTATTTGTTGTGGAAGATTTCTTCAACAGATGCCATTTATATCCTCCTAAAAGCACAAAATTTCAATTTCTTCGGGGGGGTGGGTTTACTCCCAGACATGAGGCACAGAATTTTCATAACTTTTCTGCTTTGTCTGTTGGAAGCACTGATTATAATTGTAACATTAATTTATATTTCTGAGAAAGTGACAAAAAGTTTGCTGCAACATCCCAACATTTGTCGAACTGACTGTACTTCTGACTATTCCTATGTTCACATTTCCAAATGTCTCCACAGCCTAATATGATCAATATATCATATTCACATTGTCATCCATTCCTGTTAGAACTCATTTATTTCTACATTGTTCTGTTAAATTGCTTTGTATTTGCTTTGTTGGTTTATGACCCTTTTACTGTTCTGGACGAAGAAAGAAATTAAAAAGGAGAATAGAGAAGGCTAATACTAATTGTTATGAAATTTTCCCTTCTATTCAAATTTATCCATAACATTAAACATATCTGGCACATTGCTTTTCTTGGCCTCGCCACACAGCCTCTGTTTGTGTTAACTGTAGCCAACCCTTCCTAAACTTACCATACTTCAATGCTTTCTGTACTGGATTTCCACTCTTATTTGAAAGTCACGCTTTGATTAAATGTTTTTAAAGCATCTGACAACAGCAGCTTTGCTAGGGGGTTTTGGTTTTGTTGTTTTTAATGAATGAATGCATGTGAAGACAAAAATTTCCTGATACTAATTAAATGACATTGCTTGGTACTTAGGTGAATACATAGTTTTTCTCCTGTGGCTCTCCCCACACCTACAGGCTACACAGGCTCCTGTTGTATTGTCAGACCATCCAGTATTGATATTTCACCCCACCTCTGCCCACAGAGCACAAACTTTGTACCTTTTCCACTGCTCAAACTCAAACCGTCTTCTCTTTTTTTAAACTCGATCTCTGTTGTCTTTCCCCTCTTGTTTCTTTCGGGTCGTTTGTTTCTTTCGGGTCGTTTGTTTCAACGCCTGTTTGAGGGATTCCTGTACCTATTCCTTGCAATTGTTTTCAAATAGACTCACTCTTTGTTTTTTCTTTATAACGATATCACAACCCCTACAAATACATGGGTGGTTTTTTTTCATTGCAAAACAAAATGATTTTGAATGTTGGGATTAGAGAGACAAGGTATATATGTGTACATTAAGTTAGTATAGCTACCACATGAACTCTATAGACATTTTCCATACCCTTTTCCTAATACTAGTGATAGAGTAGGCCCCACCTTTGTGATCTCTTTCAGAAATGCTCTGTATATTCTTCTTTGGTATTATCTGGGATACTATTTCTATAGAGATCAAGTGAACTGTTCATTAATATTTGTTTTCCTTCATATTCCGCTGACAAAATAATGAAAGGAACACTTTCCATTCTATGGTACTTGTTTTTCTACAGAGTTTATTTGTTTAGTTACCAGGGTCCAATTGTATTTAACGTGGGTCATATACAATACATGAACCTCCCCTCCCCTTTTTTTAATACTACATGTACATTTCTAGAAACACTTAACTTCTTGATCCGTATTCACTATGACTTGTACAGCCTGGAGTGAGCAATGTGACGCTTAAAAAATCTTCCTTTCTTTAAAATATACATTTCTATGATGCCATTCCAGATTTACAGATTTACATACTTGTTAGGTAGCTTGTAAAGGACCACACATAATCAAAATGATTTTCTTTCATAAGAAGTTGATTTATTGTACATACGCTCGTTTACATCTATTTATTATGGAGCCTTAGGGATGAGATATATACATATGGCAATAAATCACAATTTGAATGACTATGTTCTTTTTCTTGCTTTTTTTTTTTTTTTTTTGTCTCTTTAGAATTATTCCGGGTGTTGCAGTAGTTTGTGTATGAAATTCCTGGAACCATGAAAAGATTTCAAATCCCTAGGAATTATTTTTCCTCTTCACCCTATGCATTGCAACGTCCCAAAGACGGAATCTGCTCAACACGAAGAAATTCTCTGGACACAAAGTTTGTGTTTACAGTGTTTTACTGAAGTTGAAAATGATCAAGTTTTGGGGGGCACAGGGTGAGAAATACCATATATCGATACCCTGACAAACAACCTAATTTCAATTTTCACCATTTTGTGAAAAAAATTCGGAGGAAAATACTTATTTTTCAGAAAACCAATTTGTTTCATTCAGTGTTTTACTGCAATTTCAATTTCAACACAATTAGGTCATATAAGTTGCAGAAGAATAGAGGTGTTACTAGTACTAGAGAGTAGCAAATACAAAAGAGGAGGAGAGATAAGGACAATTAGAAAATATGTTTGATTGATTGATGAGAAAGGAGGAGCAAACCACAACAGAACACTGGCTGACCACCCACAAAAGCCAACTCAATGGCCTTCTTTAGTTTAAGTAAGATTTTATGGCACTCGCAACTGCACAAGGTCATATGAACGCAAAGGGGTTGATGTCAACAGAAGTCCAAACGGGGAATCAGGCTTATTCTGCTCACCTCTCTTGCCTCAACAGTACAAAGTCTGCTTTGACACCCTGGAAATAGCAGTTCACAAGAGTGACAAACATACAAAAGAAGTAGAGGAAAAATGACGATAGTAAGTATGAGGAAAGAAAAAGCAGCAGTTCCCAATGTGCAATTGTACACAGAAGACACGGCTTCAATTCCCATGTCGACAAGTGTTATGTATCTGTCCATTAGAAGGATTCCACTCATTGTGAGGTTTGTATGTATGTAGTGTAGGGTTTTACGGCGCTCGCAACTGCTAAGGTCATATGAGCGCGCACTCATTGTGAGGTTTGGCCCAGACACATAGGGGGGTCAAAGCAACCAGCCTCCAAATTCATAAAATTGTGAGGATGGGGACATGGAAAACTTAGTTACATAAGGCTGGAACGCACTGGCTTCACATTGCTTTGCTTTTGTAAAGTGTTTTACGGCCCTCGCAACTGCATAAGGCCATATGAGCGCGCGGGACACACCTAATATTTTCAGTTGGTAGGAAATTTGGAATTTTGCTCGGGTGGCGGCCGAAGCCTACTCTTATCGATTTTAGACCACCAAGGAATCTTTAACGTGCGCAACTTGCACACGGGCCCTCCGAGATTTTTCGCTCTTGTCCGAGAAGGCTAGGTGTAGATCTTTCCTACCAGAAGATCAGGGGTGTGGCAGAAAGACAGCAGTAAGGAGGAGCCAAGGAGTAGTAGTAGAAAGGCTGCAGAAAGAGTCAGGAGCCCAGAGGAGGGGGCAAAGGAGGTGAGGGGGTGGGGGCAGAAAGTGGAAATGAAAGCAGACAACAGAACATTGCTAGAGAGCAGGAAAGGAGGTGAAAGGAGACAATTTTAGAGAAAAACTTTTCGGTCGCTACCCGGATTCGAACCCGGGATCTTTGAATGAGAGGCCAACCCTTAACCTCTAGGCCACGAGAGCCCCCTGGCTTCACATTCCCCACGGTTTCAACTCTGTTTCGGGGTGGAAAAGTTTGGTTGATTACACAAACATACTAACTTCACATTCCTTTCTCCCTCGTAAAATAGGACATTTTAAAAATAAACAATAGAACTTTAATTTTTACCTTCCACTCAAACTTCTTTAGCAATGTCAATCTACCCACTGCTTGTTGACATAAGTTCTGTTTGAGTAATTGTCTTGTGATGTATCAAAAAGTGCAGGTCTCTTCTGCACTGCTGCTATTACTATTAGTGTTTCTTCCATCTTGTCTGCTCAAGTTCCGAATCAAGTGTCTCATATACTAGATCTATATATAGAGCCTACAAAAAGAAAAAAGTGAACAACCCAAAGAGTCAAAACATGTAGGTCGAGGTCAGCGTGCTTACAATTATTTTTTAATGGTCTATTTTGCGAAAATGGGCCTTAAAGTTTAAAAAAATGTAGCATGTCGTTAAGTAATGTTCATTGCAAAATCCAAATCTGAAGTCAAAAATACAATTTGATGCAATTTTGATTAACATAAATAGCTTTCTTCATCCTGACTGGTAATTTTACAATTTCCGGTCCTAGACCACAGAAATAACGATTTGCAGAGAGCAATTTTTCTGCAGTGGTAAAATCGTGAAGGGCAGGCCGTGAAAGTGTGGGGATTGTGATGTGAAGTCAGTACAACGCTGGATATAGATTAAGTGAAGCCAGCGCCTTTCCAGAAAAGTTCATTTCCCACCCATAGCTTGACTAACATAAGGCAAGAGTTACCAGATTAAAAATTTTATATTTCCAGCAGCGTAAGTTTCTTCTGAAACTGCAGAGAATCCAGCATGGGACCTTTCAAAGACCACCAATGTGTCCTCTAGAAAAACACCCTTTGACCAAAACACATGTCACATTATTGGAGTCATCTCCTGGCAGATGTGTTGGGTTCATGGCACCAAACCGGCCTCGCAGAAAATGCACACAGGAGACTTGCAAGCAGACTGATAATATCTCAGATTTTTCAACACATTAGCACAAGACAGAAAATGTTTCACATCCCATACATACATATGAAGTTTTTTTTTAACGAGATAAACATTGAAAAGAATTATACTCAACAAAATCATGACATTTCACCAGACACAAATGTTTATTAGAAATACTATCAGAGTACAGAGGCTACAACATGAACTCAGGACAAAGAAAATATTTTGTATGGAAAAAAAGAGCTGGTCCTCAATCTAGACAGTATGTAGTATGTATGCAACTCATTTCCTTGTGTAGAAAGAAATGTGCAGGTGTTTGTACTAGCCCAGTCCTTGCAAGATGACGGGAGACTGCATCATCTCATCACCAACAAAACAAATCCTATACCCACCCCCAAAACCAATTTGTTTAACAGTACGACAGAATTTTTAAAATATTTCTCAGTCTCTATAACCATTAAAAATGATTAAAATTTGACAACATAAATTATTTACAAGACAATCATGGGTGGGGACAGAATGTACCAGTTTCTGCTTCAAACCACCGACTTTGATATCTTAACTTTGAAGCCTTCTCGTGTACTCTCCTCCCTCCCTCGCTCGCTCGCTCCATCCTGATATTGCCGACATCCAAACTTCTACTCTTATCCCATACAAATATAAATACTTTTTAAAAAGCTGCCATCCCAATTTTCAAACCATTGTATTAACTTCAGTAAATTCAACAAGCCCTGGTTGTATTCCTCGAGGACTCTTCGAGTTGAAAGAACTTGTGTTTAAAAAAACCCTATTCACACGATGCTAACTGTGGTTTTCAAGAAGCAATCAGCCCATGAATGTCCCTCCCTCCGCCATAAACTTTTAATCCAATACCGCTTTCCCAACTGGAGAAAAGAAAGACAGTTCAACACTGCATACCAAAGTATACAAATGACAAATACAACTTTCCGCAACATCATCCAGAAAAAAAATGAGAAAGTTTAAAATGTCATAAGATGAACCCCATTGGCAATATCATTAAGAAAATGCTGTCATTTCATACACATTGAACTACATGGAATATTTACAAGCCTGAATCATTTACAAATGAACAGAAAAGCTGTCAATTTAATATGATGAATGACTTATGCAAGATGACTTATAATGGAAGAGAAATTTAGCCCTTCATATAGGCTTCCACAAAGTATTAATTGATGTATGAACGCACGTGTATGTGTGTGCATGCGTGTGTTTGCGTATGTGTGTGTACAGAGTTCACCTGGTTGTATAATGAACGTGACAACATTAGACAGTGTGCAAGTGGTAGGAGATGGATAGTAAGTAGGACAGAATTCCACCAAAAACAGTAAATGAGAAAAATGAGAGACCCCAAACAACCACGAGAAAGGCAGCAGCACAAACACAGAGACAAAGAGAAGAGAAACACAAGGAAGAGACGAAAAACAAGAAAACCAGGTAGGAAGGTTGCCACGACAGTTTTAGTTTTAGTAAGAGTTTTACGGCACTCGCAACTGCATACGGTCATATGAGCGCCAGAAGATTAGAGGTGTTACAAGAGAGTAACAAACACAAAAAAGAAGGAAGGGAGATGAGGACGATAGATGTTTGATAGGAAAGAAGGAGCAAACGACACCAGAGCACCCGGCAACCACCCACTTGCCATGACAGAGCTTGAAACCGAGTGAGAAAAATGAATAAGACATGGATTTTGAACAGTAACTAAAAATAGATACAAAATGAAAACGCTGTTGCAAAAACACAGTATTACTGTATCGTTACAGTAAAAAATGTTCTGAAATGTCACATATGTCAAATAGGACAAAACCACACACAACATTCCCTTTCAACTTCATACTGTCTTCTTGCTGGAAAATGTGCACATTGAGTAGAAAAATAAAACTGGACAAACCAAACACAAAGAGAGACAAAGAAGGGAATTTGTGTAAGCCCACTTAACTATTCTGATCAAATGAGAGGGAAAGAAAGAGAAAATTTCACTTTGGACGGAACCTTGAATTTGTTGAAACAAGAACTAGCGGCCAAATCCAAAGAAAAATGCTTGCGATGTAAAAATGCTGGAACAATTTTCACAATTTACTTTAATAAAAATTGCAGATAATATATCTTCACTACGCTTTCACATAAAAATCTAACCAATATCAATGCCTATAAACAATGTACTGTACAAATCCTTCTATGAAAGGATCAACTCAACGGCTCAGACAATTCTCTATGAAGCAACGCACAAACAGTGGAGAGGGAGTTCCCTGAACTAATATCTACATAGAACAGAAATATAAGCAAAAAGGAAACGGCTAAAACAGAAGACTCAGATGGATAAACTTTCCAGATGAAGAAAGCAGAGAAGAGAAGAAAAGAAAAGTAAATTGATTCAAATAGACCTTGTGGAGGGGAAAGAACTGCAAGATCAACTCGCTTGAAAGACAAAAAGCAGTGTCTTCTAAAAGTTATTTGCTGTCTGCTGTGTCAGTGGAATGGCATTGAATGTCGACATGCCACTGAGCATGGCCAATAATTTATGATAATTGTCACTAAAGCAGGGCTGCCTACCTCAAAGTTCCCATTTCAGGTAGATTCAGGGTCACTTTCAGGTATTTTGGCCCAAAATCAGGTAGTACAAAGACAAAGAAAGAAAAAAAAAGATGATCGTTGCCCCAGTGCACCTAGTAACCATCGAACAGGGCTTGCTTTTCCTGATGTTTGGATAATTATATTTTGAAAACTTGATGAAATGAGGCGAAATTTTGTTTGTTTTTGTGTTTTAAGCATTTATGGACCGCCGTTCAAGGCGCCTATCATTCATTATTGAATGTGGAATTGAGTGTAGGATGACTGCCAAACTGACTTCAAAACCCCAAGCCCATACCAATAGAAACTATATTAAAACATATTTTCCGACATTAGCAAAGGGCACTGACATGTCCTGTGTGGCTTAGGTATAACTGACAATTTTAACTAGTTTTGCTCTAAAAATACCAAATGAGTCCTGATCTGGGCCTGTGGAGAGGCCAGAACACCAGCTGCCAAAACCATGTTTGGGTTTCAGCAATCACGGATTTTAAAAAGCACACAAAATAAAACTTATTTATAAAACCTTTACAAATTTTGATTTTCCCGATGGGAGTCTCTGTATTACACCTACATTACCGCCTGCCACCACAGCCGCTTATTCGCGTGAAACGTACTCTCAGACCGGGGAAAGCCGTACGTAAATGTAATAATTTATCACTTACGCGACCGGTAAAATATGAACCCAGTGGCCTTTTCAGATTTGGTTTCAAGGTTGTTATTGTTATCGATTTCGTTGGTTTCGAGGACAGCACAGAGAGACAATGGTCGAGTGTGCAAATAAATGCCCAATCTGGCAATTTTTAATACAACTTTCAACTTGCCGAGAGTTACACTGTAAATATGACAGAGGCAAGTGTTGATCCTTTGCTACGGAAGGCCGATAAGCTAATACTAATACTGTCTCTCTCTTTTGTCCTTTACGCATGGAGTTAACATGACAATGCAGCAAGTATGGAACTTTCGGAAAGCACAGATTTCCAAGAAAAAAAAAAGGAAAGATTGGAAACACTGCATAATGGGTTTCTTTCTACTAACTTCTACTTGTGGTCCCCGTCGCAAATCCGGAAGTTTTAACCTCTTTATCGGTATGGTGGTAGAACAGGCCCAAGTTGGTAACTACCAGAAAAATCGGTAGATTTAGGCAGCACTGCTAAAGTTAAAAATTTAACTAATCCTTGTCTTGGGCATAAAGCCTCTTAAATGAAATAAAAACATTCGCAGAGATTTTTTTTTCCTCAATAACCTCATAGTAACATGGTGACAAGAATCAAAACAAATCTCAGAACACTGCAAGCCCTTTCTTTAGGTTTTGAAACCATTCACAAAAGGATCCTGCTAAAGGGAGAAGACATTAAAACCAAACAAAGTGTACAGACTCATTTTACCTACTACTAGGTTTGCATATATTTCGGGTGGCCTGTCCATATTTTCACTGAGATTTTCTTTAGAAAGAAGGTTACATTTCACTTCATTACAATGACCCTCTCCAACAAAACTGGGAGTTCTGTTCTGATCTCATGAGAATATTTATCAACTTGAAACCGCTCACTCATACATGAACCAAATATATCTGTGATGTAATTGCAGACACACCTCACACCATAACTTCATTTCACTAACACACAAGGTAGTCGTCATTCTATTGTCTATTCAAAGTCGTCGTCGTCGTCATCGTCATCACTTGAGTAGTTGTATTTGACAGGAGCCTTGGACCGTCCGGTCGTAGCGCGGGGTGCAAGAGAGGCAAAGTCCATATCATCAGAGTCGCTGCCCTTAGAGACCTTTTTCTGAAACAGACGAGTCATTCATTATTTTTTTCTCCCCCAGATAAACAAACGCGCCTGACCCATCTTCAGTCAAGGCTGTCATTTATGACCTCCAGCAAGACTTTCTGCGTTGATCAACGAGTTTCGGAATGTTCAAAGGCAGCAAAACAGCCATGACTGGTCAGTTTCTGGCACATCCAAAACCATAAAAACAGCCATGACTGGTCAGTTTCTGGCACATCCAAAACCACAAAAACAGCCATGACTGGTCAGTTTCTGGCACATCCAAAACCATAAAACCAGCCATGACTGGTCAGTTTCTGGCACATCCAAAACCATAAAACCAGCCATGACTGGTCAGTTTCTGGCACATCCAAAACCACAAAAACAGCCATGACTGGTCAGTTTCTGGCACATCCAAAACCACAAAAACAGCCATGACTGGTCAGTTTCTGGCACATCCAAAACCATAAAAACAGCCATGACTGGTCAGTTTCTGGCACATCCAAAACCATAAAACCAGCCATGACTGGTCAGTTTCTGGCACATCCAAAACCACAAAAACAGCCATGACTGGTCAGTTTCTGGCACATCCAAAACCATAAAAACAGCCATGACTGGTCAGTTTCTGGCACATCCAAAACCACAAAAACAGCCATGACTGGTCAGTTTCTGGCACATCCAAAACCATAAAAACAGCCATGACTGGTCAGTTTCTGGCATATCCAAAACCATAAAAACCAACCAGATACCATAATGTGCCAACCACTTTCAAATACAATGCATAACTATAATTTTAAACGGAATTACTACGACATTATAGTATAATGAAAAAAAAAAGTAAGGGAACTAAATCAACTAAGGGCCGTCTTCAGACAAGTTTGGAACAAAACGACACATCTTCAAACCCCCAAACCTGAAACAGGCACTGGCTCCATGGCACACACACAAAAAAAAAGGAAAAACAAATAGAACACGTTATTTCCTGGTGATTAATTATCTCAAATTTTAAAACTATTCTAAAGCAGCTACAAACAAAGATAAATTCCCTTTGAATTAAAAAACAAAACAAACGTAACAATATATTAGGAAAGCAACTCCAGGGGAGGGGTTTCCACTTCCTCATACCTTGGGAGCCGCTGCTGCCTTCTTTTTGGGTACAAAACTGTCAGAGTCTGAGTCATCATCTTTAATGGCCGCCTTGCTTCGTTTGACCGGTGCTTTTTTCACTGGACTGTCTTCATCAGAGAAATCCAAAGCCTTTTTCTTTGGTTTAGGGGCTGCTTTCTTCGGGGCCGGCTCTGAAAGAATTTGTAAAAGGCAGCCATAGAATTTTAACGTGCAAAATTCTGAAGAATACCAATACGTATAATTGTTTGATTATATCTTTTTTAAGGGCCAGGGGAGTTAAGCTCCAAAATAGTATGCTTTTCCAAGCTTTGTGGCTCAATAGTTTCGAAGCAAAGCAAAAATTTCACATTATGAGTAAGCCCCATTCTTGCAGCTAAGGGAGTGTATCAATGAGGAAAGGGGTATATGGAAAAAAAGGGAGAAACAGAAAAATTAAACAGCTAAGACAAACATCATGAGCCTTTTGTTTTGCATTATTGTGCAATACAAAAAATGACAATATTTTTTAAACTCCCCAGAAATTTCCCCCCTCCTTTTAGGAATGTTGACAAAACTACCTTTTTTAGCCTTGACTGGTGCTGCTTTCTTGGGGGGCGGAGATGCTTCAATGATGTCATCATCATCACTGCTGGGGTACATGGCCTTGTTACTTTGCACTAGATCGAACAAATAAAAAATAGAAACTCTAGAGAAATAGTGTCAAATTCATACTTTCTGGATCAAGCAAAGATCTTGGCAAAATTAAAGCAAAAAGCGATATGTATAAAAACGCTATCAGCACCTGACAAATATGAATTGATTGCAACGGGAAGACAAGCATTTTACTACAACAGAAATATGATGACACAATGCTGAAAAATGTAAGTAAAATACAAACTAATAAGACTTTTTCATAATCATGGACAAATCTTTGGCAGATACAACATATCCCACACATAAGGCTCACCATGACTCATCACTCAAGGTGACACAACAAGATAACATCGGAGGTGCGATCTGCTACGTGAAAATATCCTGAACTTATCAGACCCCATGCAACACACTCACGGGGACTCAAAATTTACAGATCATTTTGTCATACATCGTATTCAGACTGTTTTTAATATAAAAAGCAACTTCTCGACAATCAGCCCGAAGTAAGGCAAAATTTGGACGGACAATTTCAGAAATTTGGATTTCTTGACTTATTTCGAAATCCGGCACCTTCAATAAATTAGGAGAATCAGATCAACAATAACATGCTGTTTTGTTTTGTTTTAGTAGAGGTTTTACGACGCTTGCAACTGCTTACGGTCAAATGAGCGCCAAGGGTTGGATATCAACAGAGAAGTTCTTACAGGGAATCAGACTTACTCTGCTCACCTCTCTAGCTTCAACAACACAAAGTCTGCTTCGACTATCAAGGCACCCTGGAAATAGCTTGTCACAAGAGTGTGACAAACATACAAAAGAAGTAGAGGAAAAAATGATGATAGTAAGGATTAAGAAAGAAAAAGCAGCAGTTCCCTGTAGCAGTTCAGGCACTGTTATGAGCATGACATTGATGAATCAGCCCATTTACAATTACAATTCTACTGTGCATAAGAACTCAAGGTGTTAATGCCCCCCCCCCCCCCCCCCCCGTTTGGGAATGGCCTAAAAGACACTTCAGTCAGTAGTACCGCCGCAGGAGGTCATCAACATGCTCTGACATAAAAGTTACAAGTTACAGAAAGAAAGGGGAAAATAACAAAACCCAAAACCACAAAACAATAACATACTGAGTTTAGAATGCAGCTTTTCCTCATCTTCACTGCCAGAAGACAAATCTGGCAAATTGTTCTTCTTCGCAGGGGCCTTCTTTGCAGCTGGCCTGTAACAAGGGGAAAAAACACAAAGGCATGGGTTAGTCTACAACATGATCTAAATTTTAAAAGGCATGTCAGAAAAAAAAATACCAGAAAAAAAGAGGTAGAAATTTGGGATTTTTCCAAATCAAAGGCAGTCATTGTTCGTAGGCCATTTCACCAAATAAATTAAATTAAAATGTCCAGATCTCCGTAACTCCACTGTAAGAATACAGTTCTAACCAAGTGTTTTCATATTGCACTAATTCTAATCTCAATCAATGCAAAACTCCCATCTGTTGAAATAGCATCTTGTTTCTTAGAAGCAAACACATACACACAACAGCTACTTCTCACTTGAACAACACAAAGTCTTAAAAAGACAAGATCTTACTTGGCAGGAGCCTTTTTCGGGGCGGGAGGTTTGGGAGCAGGTGCAGCCTTAGGCTTGGGAGCAGCCTTGGGCTTGGGTTTAGGCTTCTCCTCCTCATCACTCAAGGCAAAGTCCACATCAGACACATCCCCACCTTTGGCCCCTTCGCTGATGTTGCCATCACTGACATTGCCATCGCTAGCGTTGCCATTTGCAGTGACAATTTGCCCAGTCTCTGCATCAAATGCTTTGAAACCTCCGTCTTTGTCCTCGTCCTCCTCACTCTCAACTTCTTCCTCATTGTCAAAGTTGTACTTCACCTTTGAAGCTGTTTGGGAGAAACAAAGAACATATAGGTACATTTTCATATAATGGCAAAAAAACAAACTTTTATCAACATTACTTGTATCTTGAAAAGCAAGATCTAAAAATTTATTAACTCTCTCCTACGTGCTGACAGCCACGCTCCTCTGACAAAATTAAAGTACAAAGAAAAGAGCTCAAACCTAGATTTGCGAATTATGATAACACAACTTCCAATGTCACCCATAAAAAAATATAAACGTCCAAAAACAACTGATAGAAAACTGTTAATTACATGTCTGGAACAAATTCATTTTCACAACTTCATCTTAAATATCCCTCCACTCTGTCTGTCCCAAAAGCAGTGGTGTACTCACCCGCAGCTCTACGGGCAGTGTCTCGGGGGATGACAATGTCATTCATGGAGTCTTCTTCCATTTCACTCAGGTCACTGTTCTTGTCAGACTCCTCATCAGACCAAGGGTTGCGCTTCTTCACCTTCTTGCCTTTCTCTCGCTCTGGGGAATCAGGAGGAAACTCTATGTTTGAAGGCCAGTGATGTCAAGATTCTTCTGTTCCCTTGGATTGAATTTTCATTTTCCCTTGTGCTTCTTTCCTGACTTACTTCTTAACAATCACAACAAATAAAGAAAATTTGCAATTCAAAAGATCCAAAACCATTTATCAGAAAATCACATTGTTCATTAGTCAACAAACCTATTTCACATTTTATACACCTTTACATATTAGCTCTTTTTATCCTGGCTGTACCCCCACGGACTCTGTACCTGTCCTGGGGCCGCTGTGCCATACGAGTTGGAATTCAGCGTGTACATTTCAAAGTGCTGTATTTCTTACATTTACTATTAGGTTTTAAGGAAATTTGGCAGTTATGTTAGAAATTGAATGTAGTTTTTGTAAATGTACGTGGTTAGGAATTACAACAATTGAAACCATGAAGATTTTGAGGTGTATTCCACCCTACAACTTGACCCTGACTGCTGCGCCCACGACTTCCCTTTGAATTTACAGATTTACCCCTACCCATCGGTACTGCACGAATTCCAGTACCGGTCCCTTTACCATGATCTGAATCGCTATTAGATGCGTCTAATTCCTGTTCATTATCATCCACAACGGAATTCACGGCACTTGATTTAGAGTCACTTTCATCAAATTAGTCTCATTCTCCCTCACAACCCAGCATCACTTTAAGAAGTTCTTTGTCGGTCATGAACATGCATTTTCGAGACATCTTCCAAGCTTCTACACCCATTAAAAACAAAGAAACCGCTGCTCATTGGACAATTTAAATATTTAGACAGCTAGCATCGCCATATTTGCGTGTTTTAGTAATTGCAAGCAGAACTACCTTTTTGACGTGCCCGTATAGCTGTTCCGAGTTTACTTGAAGCCCGGATAAAAAGAGTTAAAAGCGTACCTTGAAAGCCATTCAAAAAGAAGCACAAGTTTCAAAATTTCTTCTTCGAAAAAAAATTAACCTAATAAATTGTCAAGAAATCAAATTGTAAAATTAACCCAAAGATCTTTTCTGAACTTTAGTTCGACGTATTTTAAACCCAAGAGCTCACAACAAAATTTAAGAGATGTTGAAAACCTATTCAGTGGTAAAGAAATTCAAATCAATACATGATACAAAGTGCAACAACAAGCCATGAATGAACAGGACGAACACAGATAAACAACCAGACCATAACAACTGTTCAGGTGGGGGAGGGGGCTATCTGTTGTTAGTTTATTGCACATTAATTTTTGTCCCTTTGTTTGTCAGGAGATGCTGCAACCAGGGATGGAACCTGATGTCCAAAATTCACAGAGAGAGAGAAAGAGAGAAAGAGAGAGAGAGAGAGAGAGAGAGAGACGAGAGAGAGAGAGAGAGCAGAGAGAGAAGAGAGAGAGAGAGAGAGAAAAAGGAGAGAGAGAGAGAGAGAGAGAGAGAGAGAGAGAGACAGAGAGAGAGAGAGAGAGACAGAGAGACAGAGAGACAGAGAAGAGAGAGAGAAAAGAGAGAGAGAAGAGAGAGAGAAAAGAGAGAGAGGAGAGAAAGAGAGAGAGAGAGAGAGCAGAGAGAGAGAGAGAAAGAGAGAGAGCAGAGAGAGAGAGAGAGAAGAGAGAGAGAGAGAGAGAGAGCAAATCAAAATTGCGGATTTCCGTAAATTTACAGAAAATTTCTATTTCTGGCTGCAACAATTGGGTTACATTATATCTAAAAGAACAAAATCATAATATGAGACAAAACACGGAGACCAAATTCTGACAAGCACACATAAGTAGACAGCCCTATTTTGTGTTTCACTCACTGACTCCTCCTGTCGCTGCCCCTCTGGCCCTGCCTCGGCCACCCCCGCGGGCTCCACCCCGGCCTCGGGTGGACGTCGTTGTTGATGCCGCCCCGCTGACAGGTTCCTCTGACCCCTCCTCCTTCTTCACAAAATCAATCATGCTGCTTTGGCCATCGTCTGTCACTTCTTTCTTCACCTGGAAATAGAAACCATTGAAAGAGATCAGATTGTTTTATACTGTAAACACAAGCAAACATAAAATTATACGGTAAAAATTACCTTTTTGGACAAAAGTAAAATTAATGGCAGAGAAAAACAAACCAAAAAAAAACAAAATACAAGTAACCCATAACTTTTCAGAACATTCAAACCAGTCTGAGCAATAGAGCTGGGTCGCGAGCGAGAGAACGGAACTGTATCACCACTATTGCCTGCGGAACGCGATTCAGCGAAACACAGAACAGTATCGCCAAATGATTCCCGATTTACTACCCTGTCGCCGTCACCACCTTGAGGCTTGTTTAACCTACTGCTGAGTCGAGTCGCGAGCGCAAGAACGGAACGGAACACTTAGTATGGCTCCCCTTATTTTACAAAAGATGGTATAGTCCATCCCCCTATTAAAACAAAATGAACGGGGTCCAACCAATAGACAGAAGGAATTTTATAGAGCCATTGTTTTAGCGAATCGTGGGGTGGGGGGTGAATTTATGGGGATCGCTAATTGAGGTCAGTAGATAGAGCAGCGCAATGAAGGGAGGGGGGCGGAGAGGTTGGCGGGGACAACTAGAGTGGGACTCGCGCTTGCCAAGTGGCGTTGATATGACACTGTTCCGTTTCAGTCTGTGTTCCGCTGCAGTTCCACGAACGCTCACGTACTCGCGATTCTTTGAAGCCGACTGAATCGCAAATCGCCACTCTCAGATTTGGCGAGCAGGATCCAGCGCTACTGAGCAAGTACTGGTATTCAATAAAATCAAAAGGTCACTCTAAACTTTCTCCATTCATCAAAAGAAAAGGGTTTACGCTGAAGTAAGATTTGTCAAATTTTACGGACTAGTAAAAACAAATATTTGGGATCATTCAGGATAATTCTTGATTTTGACAGGTCTTTTGTTCACTTGAAATGACCATTGGGCTACTGGTATGACTCTCTGAATCAATGTATTTCTGTAAGAAAGACAATTACACTGACAGAAATTTATGCATACTTAGTACAGAAACCTTACAGACTTACGAGCAGCTCACTCTATCTGGCTTTTAATACAAGACGAGATAAAAACTATAACATTACCAGCATTTCTCAAGAGCTAGTTTGCAAAAATAGCTTACCTTTTCTTTAAAGAGTCGCTTTGCTGCATCCTTCTCTCCCTTTGCCTTGACAGCTGAGCTGACCTTAGGCACCACACGACGACCCATGGGCGATGGCATTGTCTCCTCGATTGGCTTCTTGGGTTTTGTTTTGCCAATCTTCCCCATCTTGACTGGCTTAGCATCGAGTGCTTCCGCTTTCTCCAGACGTTCCACTTCCTTTTTTTCCACAGAAAAGACATCACATTTTCATGAAGCAATGTAAATTTGTAGAACCATAGTCACTGTATACAATCAAACTTTCACTTCACTTTGATTTTTCCTGGCTATCTACCACACACATTTTGTGAAAATTTATGATACTCAATTCAGTTACTCAACGTTTCAAGATAGGAAAGGAAAACTCCATCGGCAAGAAATATTTAAGTCTACCATACCAAATCATCACTACAGTTTGCTAACATCTGTTCATTAACAGAAAGTATTGATATATTTGTGTTTCCATATATAAAGAGTGAAATGATCAGCTCTTAACAAACTCACTTCTAGGGTCTCCATGAAGGCATTCAAATCACCAGTCCACAAATCCTTGGGCGACTTCCTGCGCAAAACAGAAAGCTCCTGTGCCTGTTTTGAGAGAAAAAACATAAAGTAAGATTTCTGCAGAAAGACCCATGTAAGGAAAACAACTAGAAATGCAGCATTACATACAGAAGAGAGGAAAAGACCTGTCATCCAAGAGAAAAACTCAGGGACATACCATTATAATATGTAGTACCTAACACCCAATCAAAGAGATAAAAAGACCTCATTAGAGGCAGACAAAAAAAGCAACCAAAAAATCTGTAGCCTTGAAAGGATCAAGACTAATCTACAGGAAAGAGGGAGAACTAATCACTTAACAAATATATGGATGAGAAACATGTGCACTGTGGGCTTGTGGGGTGTCCAACATGTGCTCAAAACCATCACCTAAGCCTAAGCAAAAAAGCACATACCTTAGCATCGCGCTGTTTGATAAGCTCATCTTTTTTCTCCTTGGTGAGACACCACAGGGCCATACTGAGGATGTAGTTGAAGTCAGGACCAGATGTTTCCTCTTCATCCTCTTCTTCCATCGTGTCTTCCTATTTGTCCAAACAGACCAGAGAAAAAAGAAAATATGTGACCAAATGACAACCAAACAAATGACTTCGAAATTATCTTTCTGAGTTCTCACTTAAGAATTAGAACAATTTTCAGTTGCAGGAAAAAAATAACATTCATTAAAAAGTTCAAACACCTTGCTTTAGCAGCAACATTCCATTTCCACAAATGTTTCCTTTATCAGTGCAAGCATTATAAAAGGTTTTTCATCACTTTCTAAAGCAGGGAGAAATACAGTTCTGAAAGAACCATTCTAATTATAGACATCGGTGTAAGAAAACCCTGACGGGGCAAGAAAGTCCCAGCATTATGCCAGAAGACACTTCCTGTTAATTTCAAAAGATTTCATTGACTTCATTGCTCATTCTTATACCTGGCACACTTAGCTTCACGTAGTAATATCATCTGTCTCATAGACTTACAGAAAACAAAGAAAGACCAGCACAACAATCTCTCACAGCCAAAAGCACACACAGGGAGACAGCATGCAAATTCCTACACTACACCGACTCAAACACACTAAATAATCTGACTAAAGGGTCAAGACAAAGGACTGTCTGTGCCAGGGCTTTTTTGCCAAGAAGCAAGGAACGGGGAAGAAAAAGGACATTTTTCAAGATCTCAATATATATAACACCCCACTATTAATACTTAACGGTAAAAGTCAGGCATGATGAGAAACCACTTGAAAAATGAAATAACCTAAAAAAAAAAAATTGTTAAATCTTACGGTGCAATTACTCCTATGTTCAAAGTCTCCCCATGCATGTTTTTTTTTACCCAAGAACAAGTTTACCCAAGAACTGGATGGCTAGTTGGTTCTTGCACAAAAATTACTGAAACTTTCCAAAAGATTACAAAGCAAACACAAATTAACATGTAACTGCATCAAACACGCATCCTTCAAACCAGACAGACAACAAAAGCAACATCATTGAAGAACACTTCAATTTTTTCTTAACATCATGCAAATCTCAACTTGAAAATGCAATAACATACATCTTAGAAGCATCACCATCCAATCAGATCCGACATCAAACACAGCAACACAGAAAAGAGCAGAAAGCTTACAATCACTTTTAACTAATTCTGGGTTCTGCATCCTTTCAATTTCACACTTTTCACTATGAAATTGAAAAACTGCTGTGAACTAATGGGCTGCTACAAACACACACACCAAACAACTGCACGTACAACAACAGTACGTGACGTGGGAGGGAAGATGAGTACAAACCTGCAACCCTTTGACATCCTTTGATTGCAAAATCAGGAAAATAAGATTTGTAAGAAAGAATCCTGACTTGCATGTTCAATGAAAGACAGTCTGCTCATATAGCAGTATCGTGTAATAGAGTAACAGTGGTGCACAGAGAGCATGTGATAGACCCTGAACAATACTTGCCTCAAATGATATAATCATAGCGTATCTGTTTTTTATCCATATTTTAAGAACTGAAGAAAAGCTGTAACAACTACAAAGAACAATAAGACGTAGCAATATTATCATCAGGAATAAGGAAAGAGGTAGATGCTTAACTGAAACATTGAGGTAAATAAACCTCCGTGACATTTTAGAGTCTTTGACAAATATAAAATATAAAGGCGTTCTGTGTTTTTCAACATTTTGTTCTACTTTGATTAAACTAAAAAAAAAACGAAGGAAAAATGAATTCAAAAAGACATGTGGCTCTTTACCTTTCCTTTGTTTTGAGCTTCCTTCCAGGACTTGACAGGGTCTGAGTCATAGCCTCGTCTCACCAGCATCTGGATCAGCTCTTTCTTGGGCTTGTTTTCTATGTTAAAAAAATAGCACAAAAAACAAAATTAGAAGGTAATCTAAGAGGGGAAAAAAAAACAACAGAAGAAACACACATGGATACAAGAAAAGTGAAAGTGAAGCTTATTTACACAAATTCATGTAGCTTCTTCTAGATGAATTTTTTTCTCTTATTATATAATGGTTAAAATTTGGTTGAATAAACCACTGCTCCATACACTTGACACCCTTTAAAATAAAACAAACTATGGGGGAAATAAAGATAGACAAGCAAATATTTTAAACAATAAAAGTGTTACTTCAGAGCCTTTAAAGAGTCGCGACCCCGAATGACACCAATCTTCACATGTCCACAAATCAGAAACTTCACCTCCCCATAACCCTTGGTCATCATCATCAACACTGCCTTTCTCACCCAGCATCAGGGTACGTGCCTAAAACACTTTCAACTTTTCCTTATCCAGGGCTAGCCTCGTGATATAACCCTTGGTAGGAAAGAAAAACTTTTAATGAAAGTATCTGATCACTTTGACCATCCCTACAGATGAAAATAGCCTTGTGCATATCCACACAAAGTTCATCCCTCACCAATGACGATGATGCCGTCAATCTTTTCCATGATGAAGCGTGCAATGTTGTTGAGCCTCAGGGACTCGGCAGACAGCATGCCCTCCAGGTAGTCCTTCCTCTTCTGGTAGAACTCCAGACGTGTCGTGAAGAATTCCTGCAAGATGTCCTCCACCTTCTCGTACCGCTTGATGCAGCCGTTGTGGTTGAACAGCACCTGATTGACAACACAAAACTTAACATGTGGGAAGCTGGTCTAAAGGACTTTTTTATTTTTAAATCATATTTACAGTTTGTGAACCATTTACTCTACAAATAAATCATATTTTAAAATGATGGTATCACAAGTGTATTTACAGGAATTAAAGTTTTTTCAACAAGGAAAAGTACACATGCAAATTTCAAACTTTTTTTTTAAAACAACTACATTTGATAGCTAAAGGTAAAATATTTTTTCATTTCATGAAATAAACATTTCTCAAAGTCCATTAAAGTTTTAAGAAAACACACAATAAAAGGATATAACCAATTATTTTACAATCGTACTCAACTCAGTAACTTTATAATTTATATGGTCAGCTCACTCAAAAAGAGAGAAAAGAGACAGCTGTCCTTTCCATCTATGAACACAATACAGCTCATGCACTCACACACACACACACACATCCACACCCACGCACAACTCACCATTGTGTTTGTGGAGATAGTAGAGGACAGCTTGAACTGTTTGTGGAGTCCCTCCATCTCAGCTTGGGCCAGTCTCTCAGCTGACATCTTCACCACAAACCTCACCGTCTTGTCTGTGTGGTACTCTTTGTAGTCACTGCAGAAGAGAATTATGGATATCAAGCCAACTCAATGATTGTCACCAGGAACAGAGGAGGGCAAAAAAAAACCCTTAAAACAAAAAGAAGCTGAAGAGGCGAGCCAGATCAGAGCACCAGCTTTTCAGCCACTCACTGAATAATTAGAGAACAAAGAGTAATCCCTTTCACAATGGGCAAACAAGAAAGGACATCAACAACAACAAATGCATCCTTGTTCACGGTGGAAGGTGAAAGTGAAACTAAAACCGGACTTTCGGTTCAAAAGAAACCACACATACCCAAACCGCTAAAAGGAAACCTGCTGGACCACCAGATGTTGTTCGACTTAGAAAGTTTGGTAAATACAAGAGAAAAAAACAACTTTGGAATGTTGTTTTTCTTATTTTCTTTTAGTTTACCCGTTTCCGAATTAACTCTAGTAAAACCGGTTGCCAACTTCACTGCATTTTCATTCATATACTACATGAATACAACCAAGACAATCATTACAACATATTGTCAGTAAACAAACACGACAGTCACAACTGTGCAACAGCCTCCATCTTAAAGCCCATTTTATTGGCAGAATGCCAAACCAAGACGGCAGTTTCTAACGGCAGTTCCGATAAAAAGTAAGTAACAGGAACAGACCACATCACAACCCCTTCCAACTATCCATAAAGTAGAAAAAGTAGAAGGAACAGACCACATCACAACCCCTTCCAACTATCCATAAAGTAGAAAAAGTAGAAGGAACAGACCACATCACAACGCCCACCAACTACCCATAAAGTAGAAGGGAGGAAGTGACTCACGTGATGATAGGTGGCTGCTTCTCTGTGCCGTGCAGCATGAGTTCCAGCACATCCTCCTTGTAGTTCTGTGTCCAGGTACGGATGGGCAGCTCTGTGATCTCCAAGGTCTGGTCGTCAATCACTGAGATCTCACCATGAACGGCGAAGCGGTTGTCCCCAGCTGAAATCTCTTCAATAGTTCCTCTGAAGTATTTGAACTTAGGGAGCTGAAAATAAGCAATGGCAATATTTGATTTATAGACAGCATATACATCCATTCAGTGGGTTCAGAACAAAAGCAAGGAAGACAGAGATGACAAAGGGACAGCAAGGAGGGTGGGTTCCTCCAACCTTAAAGAACAACCATGATTTCATTATCTAAAATCAAACACTTCAAAGCAATAAATTAATTGACCCTAACCAATCAAGCAAATAATGAGATGTGAGATTCAAAGTAACCATTGTTTCCGAGACCTAAAAATCATGCCAGTTGACTTCCCAACAAAACAAAAAGGAATAATAAGCTGCAAGTCACCACGACAACAGCTACAATTTGCCAGGATCAAAAGAGGACAACAGTCACAATGGAAAGAAATAGAAGCAAAAGCTCTCCAACCAATCACATGTGAGAAAAGAAAAAAGATCAATACATGAAGAACTGTCCAAGCTGAGAACTGAGCGGTGAACCATGACCATCTGCATCTGTTTTAAATCTGTTGAGGAGGAGGAGGAGGAGGAGGAGGAGGAGGAGGAGGAGGAGGAGGATGACAACCACCAGGACGATAATGACGATAACGACTACGATGACAACAACGACGAAGATGATGGAAACCTATATTGCACCTTCATAAGAAGTTTCCGTATAATTCTAAAAGTCCCTGTATCGCAATACCTTACGATAACCACATTGGGGGACACACGGAAGACGAGGGCGCGATAAAAGTTTCCGCTTGGACACCTTGGCTCAATCTCGACGGCGTATGAGGCAATCAGGCCTCCGCTATTTCACAGAGCCCCTCTCAGGCCACTGTTTGCCCAACGCCGGCACGGCTTCCTGCCAACTACCCAGATTAGATTGGACCTGGGATACATCGTATGCTGAAAAGAAAGATCGCTTGCTGCTCCTGGTTGGAGATACAGAAAGCCGCCCTAAGCAGGAAGTTCGATTTTGACATTTTGCTGAATAGGGCATCCTTAAAGGTCTATAATAGGCATGTCCATAAAGTTGCTTTTAAATGTAGATCTATGCGGAAGTTAGCAATTTCAATGACTTTTCTTCCCCCTTGGATGTTAAAGGTCGTCATCAGTTTATGAAGAACGAAATATTTTTATACGGCTCAGAAGATTTTCAAAGCGAGCGAGTAATGAGCGAGACTGTCTGAAACTTACTTCTTTCAGAACGTTTTTGTTGGCCATACGAGGCAATATCAAAAGAAAACACAGTGTATTTGTGAATATGGCGGATTCTGGTAGGAGGAACTTTTGTCACCTCACCGCAGCGGGAACGCCTTGTGTCTCCAATTGTTAATCATCAGGCTTGTAGCTCGTTACTGCCTATGTCCCACCATCAGACGCAGCACTTCCCTCTCTGATGAGCCCAAGGGTCGCCCTAGCCTCATTAGCAAACATCGATCCAGGACCAAAATTAACAAAGGCGTTTTTCACCTGACTGACAAAGCAGAAAGCGATGGCTACATTCAGTACAACGGGGTGCTCGAGGGGATGCGCTCTCGCTGATAGCAGACTTTGAGGTAAAAAAAACAAACAACAAAAGACAGTCACAGTCAATCTTTATTTTCCTGCCCAGTCTTTATATCTATCTATCTATCTATCTATCTATCTATCTATCTATCTATCTATCTATCTATCTATCTATCTATCTATCTATCTATCTATCTATCCGTCCATCCATCCATCCATCAATCCATCCATCCATCCATCCATCTATCCAACCATCAATCCGTCCGTCCGTCCGTCCGTCCGTCCGTCCGTCCGTCCATCCATCCAGCCATCCAACCTTCCACCAATCCATCCATCTATCTATCTATCCATTTATCTATCTAGCTCATTTTTCTTCTTTTGAGTGTGTCCCCGCCGCACCCGCCCTCTTCTCTCTCTGTCTCTCTCTCTCTCTCTCTCT